TAACTGCTTCTCATTGTCTGTAACCTGGCAACTAATCCATAAAGTGTCATGAAACATACATGTGTAACGGTTCCTTGTACTATAAATAAAGACGCCCAGTTCATCTGGGTGACACAAGTTGCTTGGGCTACCTAGGCTCAGGCTGCCTGTGTCCGTTTCCACTCCCTCCCTTTGTCTCATTCTTTCCAACTCTCCGGTCCTGGCAAGATGGAGGGCTTTCTCTTTCTCGTCCTCTTTCTCTTCCTCACCAGCAGCCTCCTAATCATGATTCAGCCAGACCCAAGCCCTGGGGCAGACGCCGACAGGAATTAACACTTGTGAAAGAAGATAGGCACATCTTAGGTTGTGAGAAAAACATACAAGTGACCAGTCCCAAGACAGGAGAGGACAGTGACACAAAGGAGAACTGGGTCCAGCTGGTGGTGTGGTGTTTAAGAAAGCTGAATCCCACATGGCTAACTGCACAGTTCAAGTACCAGACCCAGCTGCTGAAAAACACACCAAACGAGTGTGTGTGTGTGTCTAAAATCCCGAGTGGAGAGAGAAATGGAGAAGATATCACAACATAATCATCCCACATGGGAGTGGTGGGGCAGGGCAATGCTTTCTCACTTCTCCTCTCTCTGTCTCTCTCTGGCAAAAGTACACATGCTCCTCAGGCAACTAAAGAGACAGAGAGAGAGAGAGAGAGAGAGAGAGAGAGTAAATGGAAGAAAAATACTCCAGTTCCTAAAAGAGGATCAAGGGTCTGGTGACGTGAAAACACAGAAAACAATGTTCTATCAGCTAGAATGTGGACACAGTGTTGGAGTCAACCTAGAAGCCAACCTCCCACCCCCCCACAGCTCACATCCAGGCTGATATCAGCCCAAACAAGCAGAAGACCTGCAAGACCCTCAAGAAGGCAGGACAGAGACAGCTTCATATTCCCCAACCTTTCAGAAAGTCCATTTCCACCTGATGCACATCCATCCCCAAGGAGACTCAACTAGAAACACAAAATCTCTGAATCTCCATTGACAGTACCTTCCCATCCCCATCACCTTTCCCAGAAATAAGGACAATTTTAATTGGGTTTGGGACACAGAGAACAAAAGGGGCCATGTGGCCAGATTTCATTTCTTACCAAATAGCTCTTAAGAATGACATGAAAGACACTTTAATTGAATTTCCAAATTATTTATTACATTCTGATTATACCAAAGTAATTAATTCACTTCATAATAAATCATTTCATTCTTTTTATAAGTAGAAGCTCAGTTTGATTACATAGTCATTGACTAATTCTACAGATGAAACACTAGGCTAAACATAGAAACACAAAAATTAGTAGAACATGGATCTCAACATCAAATTTTACTATCTTGTCATATATGAAAGAAAATAGGAGTTTTTCTATAGATTACAATATACCAAGAGAGAATCTGTTTTAACTTCTGAGTGCTATTTCTAATGAGCTTTTAAAAACTGCTTTATTCTTATTCATACATTAAAAACAAACCTGTCACTTCAGTCAATCATTAAATCAAAGATTCAGAGAGTTGGAAAATACACACCTTGCCCACCATCCCAAGTGATACTCTTTTTATCTCATTCTCATTAATTTTTGGACATCCCAGGGAATCACCCACCAATGCTATAGGATGTCAGAAAGAGCACATGGCCCTTTCTGATGCCATAATCTGCCATGATCTTCCCATCTTCCAGTCTCTTCCCATTGCAAGTCACAATTTGGGCCTCAGGAGTTACAGCGGTCTTGATCTCAATCATTTTTTTCACCTGGGCCACTGAGTTGGACCTTCGCACCTGGAGGTGGTGTCTCTGACCCTCATCTCCTGACTCCACAAGCAGTAAGGACAACTCCTCATCACTGGGCTTCACCACCCTCAGGGTGAGGTGGATGGTTGTCTCCTTGTCAATGCCATATGACGATAGTGTTCTCTGTGACTTTAGGGTCTTGGAGCCCAGCAGAAGAACCTGGTCCTGCACGGAAACCTTGGTCTTAGACCGGACATGTTCATTGATCTTCTTCACTCTGTCCCCCGGGTTGGCACTGAAAGTCATTGATTCCCATTCCTTGGAGTGAACATTCACCTGGACAATGACAGGCAAGAGTCAGTTACCCAGAATGCCTCCTCTGTATACCCACTCTCCCACGTTAATCGTAACCAACATTCCACTGCCTGTCTAGTCCTCAAGCTCCTTTCAACAATCTGTGTCCCGACCTTTCCTAGGACTTCTCTTCTAGAATTCTCAGGTTAGAATACAAACAAGATTAGTCTCATTTCTTTAGAACTACACCTCTAACAATTTCCACCTTCTTTATCCACCCCTCTTTCCCAGCCATAATTGTTCACATGTCAAAAAGTAAATCCAACTACAAACCTTCAAAAGATGTACACAAAACTCCCACATGGCTGTCCATGGTTCAAGTCTCAAACTCAGTGTCTTGAAAATCAGGCCAAGAGTATGTGCTCATGTGCCCAAGATCCCAGGAGTGAAATGGAAAACACTCCCAGAAAGAATTTCCAGGACTCCCCATCTCATGGGATACTCATGTACATAGCATAGCCTTCATGACTACTTTAGAAAGAATACCTAGTTAGGAAATATAATCTCTACACTGATAGATATTTTTTTCTAACATCTCATTGTTTTATAATAACAATTCACATGTTACAGCAATACTATGTTTAGGCTACTTGCTAACCTGCACTTCCTGTTTTTATATCTGCCTATTGTAAAATATGATCTCTTCCTTTAAATAAACCATAGCCCTACTCACACAAGACAGGAACCACACTCCAAGTATTACTTTAATAACCAGAAACTTCTGAAAGATGGAAAGCTCACCCCTATATTGCCACTTAAGTCTGAGAGGACTACTTTCACGCTGTTCAGAAATGTCTCCTAACCTAGATGTCACAGAAATTTCTTTACGGAGGGTCTCTCTGTGTTAAGCAGTGCTCTCGTTCCAGGTTCTCTTCATGGTGCCTATCTTCTTATATAAGACAATGAATTAGGTCGTTGACAACTTAAGATAAACAAGTTTTATGAAGTCTTTGGGGAGGAAAGGGAACCTTAAGTTTAAGAACCCTAAAAGGCTAGCCAGGAAGAGTACTGGTTAAGGCACCAGAATCCCACATAGCTGACTGCACGGTTGGAGTCTCAGAATCAGCAGATTGAAAAACATGCTGGGTGCATGTGTGTGAATGACCGAAAATCCCAAGAAAAGAATATAGGAAAAGGATTGTGGAATAGCCATCCCCCTTGGAAGGTGCTTTCTCACTTTCTCCCTCTCTCTGTCTAGAGAGTGCACATGCCCTATAACAAACAAAACAAGCATAGAACCTGGAAGTATTTTCATAATTTCAAGTCTTGCCAGCCCTTGCAGCACAAAGCACACTCACTTCTTCCTTCCTGTCTGAAACAGCGACCAGTTCAATACCTGACTTGAAAGAAAGCTCAAGAGCTAAATGATGGCTTTCTCTTCAGGGAACCCTTGTTCCCATTCTGCATATATCAACCTCTCCAATCTCCTTCAAGATGCCTTCCCAGGCACTCTGCTTCCCCGACCTCTGTCTCTTGTTCACTCCTGAGGTCTCTCCCCAACCCTTAGTAAAAAAAAAATCTTTCCCTTTATCAAATCCCAACTTACACAGAGGCAGTCGGCCATCTCTGCAGTCAAAGGAGTAAAAGCAGGAGACTGAGAAAAAGGTCCTTGTGTCCAGTTTATATGCAACTGGTTGAGCTGGAAATCCCCTGCGTGGCCTGCTGAGCTTGGCTTTGCTGTGCCCTTTGTTTGTGTATGATCGCATGGATTTTCTTTCACTTTTGCTTTCATGAAGTCAATAAACAAAGGAAACTTTCTGATCATGCACTTCTACTCTCAACCAATCAATTTGCACTCCTCTTTCCAAAAATGGGATGGTCCCTCTCTGGGGAGAATCTTCCCATGACTGTCTACCCACTTCCTGTCCTGGTTTAAACTGCAGCCCTGGGCCCTCTCTATTTGAAGACCCAATTTGCTTGGTGGGCCTCTCATGCTACTTTTAAGAGTACTTGATCAGCCATGGGCTTTCCTTAAAGCAGGCACACCCAGGACAACCAGCGTTGGTGTGAAGAGACGTGACTATGGCAGCCTGTTCACACTCACAGAATTGTAAGTCACGCCTTGGGAAGACACAGGAGAAAGAACCTTAGACCTAAAAGAATGTCAAGTTTGAGTTTTAGAAGGGCCACACCATAGAGGTATGGTGAATCTATTTACTTCCTTAGACATTATTTCTCTATCCATAAAGTGAGACAGTTGGAGAGTTTCCCGAAGTGTCTTCTAGGCTATGAAATCTTTGCTTATAAAATGTCCTTTACAAAATACTCAATGCATTCTGGGTCTCGAACTCTCTAACACACTTCATACCCTTTCTCAGAACCGGCAATCCAAATCCACTAGTTGGGAACAATCTCAGACCAACAAGTTCCACCTGTTGCACACCACTCTCCCATCATGTATCTTATTTTCCCCACCTTTACTCCTAGACACTCATCACCACTGTGATCTCTGCAATATCTAGGAAGGCTGCTCACTTCCACACTGTTGAGGATTGAGGGGGCCAGCAGATGGCATAGGGGTTATGTCACTGGACTCCCACATGGCTGTCCGCAGTTCAAGTCTCGAACCCAGCTTCTTGAAAATCAGGCCAAGAGTGTGTGCTCGTGTGCCCAAGATCCCAGGAGGGAAATGGAGAACAGATTATGGCATGGCTACCACTCTGGAGGATACTTTCTCACTCTCCTCTCACTGTCTTTGTGTCTCTCTCTCACTCTGATGAATACATGCACCTTATGGCAAAAAAATTGTAGAAAAAAAAAAGAGAGAGAGAAAGATAGAGATTTGGATTGAGACCAAAAGGGTGTGCATAAACTATGTGTCCTCAAGGAATTTACTCAATCACTCTGATCTTCCTAATATTCCAAATTAATCATTGCCTTTTCTCAAACTCACAGAACATTACCACAGAATCCATTGTTTTGAAGAATTTTACTTATTAACTTATTTATTTTAATTTGACCAGAGAGGGACAGAATGAGAGAGAGAGAGAGATAGAAAGCTGCCAAGTCCAAGATGGAACTGCAGTCAGCCATGTGGGATTCCAGCACTCTTAACCACCATGCCACCTACTGGTCCTAAGAACCAGTTTTTTTAAAGGAATTTTTGCCTTAGGTGGGTGCATTTACCAAAGACAGAGAGCGAGCGACATAGAGACAGTGAAAGGCAAAGTGAGAAGTTACCCTTCAGGGGAGATGGTCACCCACAATCCCTTCTCTTTCATTCCCCTACTGGAATCTTGGGCATTTGCATGCACACACACACACACACACACACACGCACGCACACATATACTTGCCTGGCATGATTTTCAAGCCATCAAGTCCAGGACTCGAACAGCAGTAGACCTCATGAGAGTCCAGCCACATAGCCACTCCACCATCTGCTGGTCCCAGAACCATTTATTTTTTAATAGAATTTATTAAAAGTGCTTCCTGTGGCTTGCAGGTGTCATGGTGATTGAGACACTGAATTCCCACATGGCCAACCACTGTTCAAGTCCCAGACCTAGCGACTTGCGCTCGCTCTCTCTCTCTCTCTCTCTCTCTTTCTCTGGCCAAATATGAAAAATAATAAATAATTTCCTTTTTTATAAAAGTTTTTCCTTATGAGCTAGCAGATGGCATAGGGTTACATCACTGGACTCCGACATTGTCAACCATGGATCAATTCCCAGATCCAGTGGCTTGAAAATTGACTAGGCGTGTGTGCATGCATGCTCAAGATCCCAGAAGGAGAAGGGATTGCAGAGTGGCCATCTCCTCTGGGGTGTGATTTCTCACTTTCTCTCTTACTGTCTCTGTCTCTCTCCAGCAAGCACATGTGTTCTAAGACAAAAATCACTAAAAAAAAATTATTTTAAAGAATGCTTCCTTTATTTTCAGAGTAAATAGACTGTAAAAATGCCACATGATCATCTTTGCTCTGTTTGAAGTGACCATTTGCTATACTTTCACTCACTGGTAAATCTCAAACAATCCCATTTTATTCTAGAGAGCTCTGTCTAGAAGAACTCAGATTTACAGAAATTTCCCTGTAGAGTAAGGAGATCCAAAAACCTAATACTCCGGACCCTAATACTCTCTTTTCAGATCTCACTCCATGTCCCTGTTATCTCCTGCATTTCAAAACCAAGGTTCTGACCTTTGGCTGCTGCACAGCACCTACCATGTCCACTGTCCAATAGGGTTTAGGGATTATGAAACATCACCAGTGGCCAGGCAGAAAATTACAGCTCAGGATAAGGGTGAAACAAAGTCCTGCCACATGATAGGGGCAGGGAAAGGGCCTAGGAAAAGAGAAAGGAAAAGCTGAGCAAACCCAGACCTGAGTAAACTGCTTTCACTTTTCAACTTGAACTGCACCCAGTACTTTCTTGGATCTTCACATCATTTCTGGGAAGGCAACAGGAAGAACAGGTGGTTAAAGGCTGCTTTAAACTAGACTCTCCTGTACCCTTTTCTTCTTCTTCCTTCTCAACTCCTGGCTATGTTCATGCTAGAATCTGCATTTTGTGGACCAGCAAAGAACCTTGGCCAACGGCTCCAGGAGTAGGAACAACATTTCCCAGGAAAGATATTTATCTGCTGATGCTCCCAGATCAGAGCAACCCACAGCAACAACCTGCAGCAGATCTGTAATATAGCTGCATCTGTGGGTGATTCCCCAAATTCACTGCATACTCTTGAACACACTAAACTCTCTGCCATCTCCAGGCCACTGAGCACAGCTTTACCTTCAATTCTATCCCATGAATTTATAAGAATACACAGTGCGGGCCAGCCAGTGGCATGGTGGTTAAAGAGACTGGATCGTACATGGCTGATGACATGGTTCAAGTCCCAGACCCAGTAGCTTGCAAAACATGCTGCACAAGTGTGTGTGTGCGTGCCCAGAATCTTAAATAGAGAGAGTGATGGAGAAGAAATTACAGCATGACCCTCTCCCATGAGGAGGTGTTTTCTCACTTTCCCTTGGCAAATTTTTTCTTTTGGAGAAGTTTTTGCTATAGGGTGCATGTGCTCGCCAGAAAGAGAGAGAGACAGAGAGACAGAAAGCGAGAAATCACCCCCGGGAAGATGGTCCTGTAGCAATCCCTACTCTTCCATTCTTTTTTCGGGATCTTGGGCACACATGCACACGCGACCGGCATGAGTTTAAGCCACCGGGTCTGGGACTCGAACTGCGGTCGACTACATGGGAGTCCTGAAACAGCTGTTACGCTAACTGCTGGTCCCCCCTTGGCAAATATTTTAAAAAGAAGAAGAATACACAGTATAAGCAGCATCTCTTCAAAAAGCCTTCCCTGGGAACCAGCAGTTAGCGTAACGGCTATGTCACTGGACTCCCACATAGTCGACCGCGGTTCGCGTCCTGGACCCGGTGACTTAAAACTCACGCTGGGCGAGTGTGCGTGCGTGCCCAAGATTCCGAGAGGAGAATGGAGAAGGGATTGCGGCGTGACCAT